GACTGCAAGTTTGGTATATCATTTTTTATCAGAAGTATGTCATCGACATCAATATCAAGAATGCCACTACGCTCCCACTTACTTTCTTGTAAATATAGGGCTCATCTTCGTTCTTAATGAGACCGAATTCTTTTACGGCTTTATCAAAATGAATGCTCCAACTCCTTAAAGCTTGCTTGAGTCCATAAATGGACCTCTGCAACATCAAGAACAAAACCATTGGGTTGTGTCATATACACATCCTCTTCAATGTTTCCGTTTAGAAAAGTCATTTTGACCTCTACTTGCTAAATCTCATAGTCATGATATGCAACAATTGTAAGCATCCAGATGGATTTAATCATGGCAACCAGTGAAAAGGTTTCTTCATAGTCAATACCATGAATTTGTTTGAAGCCTTTGGTAACCATTCGTGCCTTATAGGTATGCATCTTGCCATCCATGTTAGTCTTCTTCTTGAAGACCCATTTACACTTTATGGGTTTTACCCCTTTAGATGGATCCACCAAAGACCATACTTGGTTTTGGTACATGGAGTTCATCTTAGATTTCATGGCTTCAAGCCATTTAACAAAATATGGATTCGATATAGCGTCTTCGTAGGTTCTAGGTTCATTGTCTTGGTAGACCAGTACGTCACCATATTGAGTTACAAGAAAACCATATCTCTTGGGCTCATGGAATACTCTTCCAGACCTATGTAGCCCTTGTGCTACTTGAGGTGGTTCACTTTGATCCACAGACTGTAGAGTAACCTCTTTACTATGTTCAACCACTTCCTGTGGCACATCTTCCCGTCCTTCATCTAATGTATCTTCTGGTTCTAGAACTTCATTGAGTTCTACTTTTCTCCCACTAGTACTTCTTAGAAAAAATTCATTTTCTAAGAAGACACCAGTATGAGTGACAAAAATTTTACACTTTTCTAGATGGTAGAAATAGTATCCTTTGATCTCCTTAGGATTTCGAGCCTAGCTTGTTCGAAGTCAATTTCTTGACATAAGTTTCACAACCCCAAATCCTTATATAAGACAAGTTGGGCTTTTGTCCACTCTTTAGTTCATATGGAGTCTTATCTGCAGAATTTGACAACATACAGTTCAATATGAGAGTCGCAGCCTCTAGGGCATAACCCCAGAATGATGCAGGTAGATCACTAAAATTCATCATGGACCTAACCATGTCATCTTACCTAAAAGGCATGACTCGTATACTTCAAATGACTGCAAGTCAAAAGGGTCTAAAACTCTATCCTTTTGAAGTTTTGTAATGCAGGTCTTATTAACATGACACAATCTACAATGCCAGAGGTATGTTTGGTTTTGATCGCTATGTTTAGCTTTCTTAGTTTCAACATTGAGAATATCTTTATTGTTTAAATCAAGAACGTATAATCCATTATATAACCTTGCAATTCCACATAGAATACCATTCAAACTAAAAGATAAAAATCCATTAGAAATCTCAAAATGATATATTATATTATTCAAAGAAGATACTGAAATAATATATATGGAAATCGAAGGTACGAAATAACAATCATGAAGTTCCAATAACAAGCTTGATAGACTTATAATTTTATATTTTTATTATCCTTGCATTTAGTTTATTTGGCATGTTTAATATCTTATGGTGCCTATTTGTGATGATTTTTATGTGTAAGGCATTTGTGGTTAAGAGTTAGTAAAATATACTTAAAATCAGAAGTTTCCAGCATTTTTACTTTTGGATGTTTTAGGCAGTTTGCAGATTTTTGATGGACTTGGAGTTATAGTTTGGTTTTTGGACCATCCATGAAGTTAAAGTAGACATCTTAAGCTTTCCAATTTGGGATGGCACGTCCAAAGACGACTTCGTTTGGGCCTCCAATTGTTGGTGTACATTCAGAGCTGAAAACTGAAATCGAATCCTAATTAGAGTAGGATTTCTATCTGACCACTGGAGCTTCCGAAACTCAAATGAGATGATTCAAAAGCCAAAATTGAATTACACATCCTAAATTACAATTATTATGAAGGGGCTGAAGTCCAGAAAGCTCGTTGTCCTATCCAAAACTAGCCTGGAAGTTAAGGCTTCAGCCTAGAAGCTTTAATCCTTAGCTGATTTGGATGATATTTGTATGGGTCATATAAAGACTTGGACCAACTTCAAGAGGGAGTTCAATACAATTTTGGAGGGCTGGAAATTTGTGTGTATGAGCTGGAATTTCACTTGCACAAATTAAGGGCAGGTTTGAAGAGAGAGAAAGAAGTGTTTTCCTAAAAGGGTTTAGTTATTTGCCTTAATTTTAGGAGTTGGCTTTTAAAGGGAAGCTTTTATACATTTCTTTGAGATAGAAAATAGATTTTTTAGGCTGCTAGGGTTTTGGAGGTTGGAGATAGAACGCAATTTTATTTTTCCTTTTCTTTGTGCCTTTCATCTCATCATGTCAGGCTAAATTCTTTAGTTAGATTCAAGGAAACTTTGTTCTTAATCTTAGTTATTCTTTTATTCGAATATCTATGTTTCTTTGTTTTATTTATTATGGTTGCATGATTTAGTTGATTAAAGAGGCATGTTAATTGATTGATTGATTGTGTGATTGATTCTAAACTGAATTTGTAATCCATAATTGTTATAATATTCAGTTAGAGTAGTAATTAAGCAAAACAATTGTGATCCAAGCTTTTGTTGATTGTTTAAAAGAAACATGGAATGAATTAAATAATTTGATGCTTGTTCGATTGTTATTCATCTTTAACTACTTCCTAATTCATAATGCTATCAATAAATTCATAAGTATTGCGTAATACCAAGTGGTTTATTGATAAGAATTAATTTGTGTGCTAGGCTCAGATCAATGAACTTAGGGAAGATAAAGATTGTCTGGCTTCTTGATAATCTTTGGTTGAATATTCAATTAAAGAATAATATATATTAGAAGTCAGTGATCAGTTTGCAACCGTGGATAATTTTCCTTGAGTCAAAATCATTTTTTATTAAATTCTCTTTACTTAATTCTTGTTTGTAGTAATTACTCTTGTGTCAATTAATCTTCAAAGTAAAATTTCCCCCTTTTTTATTTCATTAATTCATTGTGATATTAAGTTGGGTAATATAATTAGCTAGTCTCTGTGGATCGACCTGTACTTACTGTGATTACAAGTTGTGAGTAGAGTAATTTAATTTTTGGTTGCGCTCGGCATGCATCAAAATTTTGGCGCCGTTGCCGGGGACTAGTTGTAATTAGATTTGGTGTTCTTATTACTTTTATTGTTTTGTTTAGTGATTTATGAAATTATTCAATGTAATTATTGTCATTCTTACCTTTGTTTGTGAAGAATTGTGATTTGTAAGGTATCAAAAAAAAAAATCAGTAGTATTATTCACGACAGGATTTGCAATGGAATTAGGAGCATTGTGAATGCTCGTTTCAAAGGAAATGAAATTCCCCTAAACCCTAAACCCTAAATCCATTAAGGATTCACTAGCCCCACACTCTCAAGGCCAAAAAGAACGTTTGATAGGGTTTTTGGCCGTAAAAAAAATATATATATTTTTTTTATTTTCTAGTCAGTTTTCATTATTTGTCACTTATTTTTTTCTTTTTCTTTTTTTAATGTGATTTTTATTTTATGACCAGGTCCTCTCATCTTGGTGACTTAACATTCGACCTAGAGATTGAACGAACTGCACGTAGATTGAGGAAAAAGGCTCGACAGAATCGAGAGCAAGCTACTGTTTCATCGCCTAGCATCAACATAGCCCTTGATTTAGCATCTAACAGTTCATTTAGTGACACAGCAAAAGAGGGAGTCATGGCAAGTAATAACTTAACATTAAAAGAGTTGGTTGCCCCTAATTTGAATCAACAGCCTTTGTGTATTGAGTACCCTAACATAGATGCTGCATTTGAGTTAAAGACAGGACTAATACATTTGTTGCCTACCTTCCGTGGTTTTGCAGGTGAGGATCCTCATAAGCATTTGAAATAATTTCATGTGGTGTGTTCAAGTATAAGGCCACAAGGTATCTTAGATGAGCAAGTGAAGCTATGGGCTTTTCCTTTCTCCTTGGTAAATTCGGCTAAAGATTGGTTGTATTATCTTCCATTGGGCTCAATTAACTCTTGGAACGAGATGAAGTGGTTGTTTTTAGAGAAGTTCTTTCCTGCTTCACGAGTTGCCAATATCAGGAAGGAGATCTGCGACATTCGACAATACAACGAAGAGACCTTGTACGAGTACTGGGAGCGCTTCAAGAAATTGTGTGCAAGCTGTCCACACCATCAAATACCTGAGCAGCTCCTAATCTAGTATTTTTATGAGGGCCCATTACCAATGGATAAGAGTATGGTGGATGCTACTAGTAGAGGTGTATTGGTTGATAAAACACCAAAAGCTGCTAAGAATTTGATTTCCAACATGGCAACCAATTCTCAACAATTTGGGACAAGGATGGATCATACACCAAAGAAAGTTAACGAAGTCCATACTTCTAGCATTGAACGTCAACTTTCAGATTTAACTTCTTTGATGAGGCAAATGGTAGTAAATAATGTGCAAGTTGCTAAGGTGTGTGGAATTTGTTCGATTGCTGGTCATGCTACAGATATGTGTCCAAGCTTGCAAGAAGAAGAGCCAATCCAACAAGCCAACGTGATTGGTGTTTTTCCAGGGTAGCCCTAGTGAAAATATGATCCATTTTCTAATTCCTACAACCCAGGCTAAAGAGATCATCCGAATTTAAGCTATGGGACCTAACCTGCTCAAAATCGCTATCAACCCCCATCCCAAACAAGGCAACAAGCAAATCAATCCCCAAATCTATCACTTGATGAGATTGTTAAGGCACTGGCTAACAATACACACCAGTTTTAGCATGAGACGAGAAAAAACATTCAGAATTTGGAGAAACAGATTAGTTAGTTGGCAACATCAGTGAGCAAGCTTGAGGCACAAGATTCTGGGAAACTACCCTCCCAAATAGTTGTGACTCCTCATGAAAACGTGAGTGCCACTATGTTACGGAGTGGGAAAGAGATTGACGCCCCTAGCCAAAATCCTCCAGTTTCGGCCAAAGAGACTCAAGTAGATGAGGAGGTAAAAAGTGAAGCTGAGAATTCTTCCAAGGTGACCCCTCAAATAGTGGTGCATAATTCAACCAAATCTGCTCCCATCCCCTTTCCGAGTAGATTGTGCAAGTCTAAGAAGGACAAACAAGAGAAGGAGATCTTGGAGACTTTCCGAAAGGTAGAGGTCAATATTCCCCTTCTTGATGCCATTAAGCAAGTTCCAAGATATGCAAAGTTTCTCAAAGAGCTATGCACTACGAATAGAAAGCTAAGAAATGATGAGAAAATCAGTGTGGGGGAGAATGTGTCAGGGGTAATTCAACGTAAGTTACCCAAAAAATGTAAAGATCCAAGTACATTTACAAACCCATGTGTCATTGGTAATACTAAATTTGAATATGCCATGTTAGATTTAGGTGCATCTGTAAATTTCATGCCATATTCAATTTATACATCTTTGAATTGCGGCCCTTTGAAAGATACAGGTGTAATAATTCAATTAGCTAACCATTCTAACTCATACCTTGAGGGGTTAGTTGAAGATGTTTTGGTGTAGGTCAATGAACTAATATTTCCTGCTGATTTCTACATTCTAAATATGGAGGAAATGGTTCTCCAAACCCTGCCCCAATTCTACTCGGAAGATTCTTCATGAAAACAACTAGGACAGTGATTAACGTTCATGACGATACTCTTACCATGGAGTTCAATGGAGAAATTGTCAAATTTAATATATTCGAGGCCATGAGGTACCCTAGTGATATTCAATCTGCGTTTTCAATTGATGTTATTGATGTGTTTGCACAGGAGGTTTTTGAAATAAGAAATGAAGATGAGTTTAAAATGGTGTTTAGCCAAGGGCTACGGGACATTGATACAAAATTGCAACTGAATTCAAATGTTAAGGAGATGATCATGGCATTGCAATCACTACCTTCAATTCCAAAAAGGTATGATTTGTTAAAAATTGAGTTACCATTATCTAACTCAAAGTTGTTGCCTTTTGTGGTGTAGGGACCAGTTTTGGAGCTGAAGCCTCTTTTTGACTAGCTAAAGTACACATACTTGGGAGATAAGGAGACATTGCCAGTCATCATTGTGAAGAATCTAGCTTCAATACAAGAAGAAAGGTTGATAAGAATGCTACGGGGCCACAAAACAGCCATTAGTTGGAATATAGCTGACATTAAAGGCATAAGTCCATCAATGTGTATGCATCGAATTATGTTGGAAAATGGTTCAAAACCAAGCCGAGAAGGTCAACGAAGGTTGAATCCTGTGATGACGGAGGTAGTCAAGAAAGAGATTTTGAAGTTGTTGGATGTAAGAGTGATTTACCCAATATCAGATAGTAAATAAGTGAGTCCGATCCAAGTTGTGCTGAAGAAATTTTGAGCTATGGTGATCAGGAATCAAGATAATGAGCTTGTTCCAACGAGGATTCAGAATGGATGGCATATGTGTATAGATTACCGCAAGCTGAACACATTGACAAGGAAAGATCATTTTCCTTTACCTTTCATCGATCAGATGCTTGAGCGATTAGTAGGTAAGTCTCATTATTGTATTCTTGATGGTTATTCAAGTTATAACCAGATTGTTATTGCACCTGAGGACCAAGAGAAAACCACATTCACATGCCCATTCGAGACATTTGCATTTAGAAGAATGCCATTTGGACTTTGTAATGCACTAGCAACATTTCAAAGATGCATGTTAAGTATTTTTTTTGACTTAATGGAAAATTGCATTGAAGTGTTTATGGATGATTTTATGGTATAAAGAGATTCTTTTGATGTTTGCTTGGATAATTTAGTTCATGTCTTGGAACGTAACATTGAGACAAACCTTGTTTTGAATTTTGATAAGTGTCACTTTATGGTAGAGCAAGGCATTGTCTTAGGTCATGCAATTTCATGCAGGGGTATTAAGGTAGACAAAGTTAAGATTGATTTAGCTGTGAACTTGCCATATCCCACAAGTGTGTAAGAAGTGCGTTCTTTCCCTAGACATGCAGGTTTTTATTGTAGATTCATTAAGGATTTCTCAAAGATTGCTTTGCCATTGTCTAGGCTTTTACAAAAAGAGGTGCCCTTTGAGTTTAGCCCAGAGTGCAAGGATGCATTTAACAAGCTGAAATTTGTCGTGACCATAACCCCCATAATCCAACCCCCTGATTGGACTTTGCCATTCGAAATAATGTGTGATGCTAGTAATTATGCACTGGGAGTAATTTTAGGGCAATGTCATGGCAAGCAAGCTCATGTGATTCATTATGCATCCAAAACACTAAATCCAGCTTAATGCAATTATTCTATGACAGAAAAATAGCTTTTAGCCATAGTATTTGCATTAGACAAATTTGGGTTGTATGTGTTTGGTTCTAAAGTGATTGTATTCTCAAATCATGAAACTTTGAAACATCTTCTAGCAAAGAAGAAGTGGAAGCCGAGACTGATTAGATGGATTTTACTCTTGTAAGAATTTGATCTTGCAATCAAAGACAAGAAAGGAGTTGAGAATTCTGTTGCAAATCATTTGAGCTGATTGGTGCGAGAAGAAAATCCTAAACTATTGCAAGAGTTCTTCCTTGATGAGCAATTGTTTGCTCTAAAAGGTATGGTTCCTTGGTGTGTTAATTTAGTAAATTATTTAGTTGGTAGGATCTTACCTGATGATTTGCCTAGGGCTAAAAAGGAAAAACTTAGGAGTAAGGCTAAATACTATGTGTGGGAGATCCGTATTTATGGAGATATTGTTTGGGTCAGATTATTAGGAGATGTGTGCCTAATTCTGAAATTCAGTTTATTCTTATGTTTTATCACACTTATGTTTTTGAAGGTCATTTTGGACCTAAGAGAACAAATAGGAAAGTGTAAGATAGTGGATTTTATTGGCCTACATTATTTCGTGATGCTTATGTATTTTGCAAAAATTGTGAACAATGTCACAGGATTGGTAGTTTGACCCGTATAATGAGATGGTACAAACCCCTATACCTGTCTGTGAAATCTTTGATGTGTGGGGTATTGATTTTATGGGTCTGTTTCCTTTGTCTTTTGGTTTTGTTTATATATTGCTTGCAGTTGATTATGTTTTGAAATGGGTGGAAGCTAAAGCCACCAAAACTGACGATTCCAAAGTTGTTGTAAGTTTTATCAGGTCTAACATTTTTAGTAGGTTTGGAATTCTACGAGCAATGATTAGTGATCAGGGGACTCATTTTTGCAATCGAACAGTAGATGCTTTTATGAAAAAGTATGGTGTTTTCCATAAAACTGCTACTTCTTATCACCCCTAGACAAATGGACAAGCTAAAGTATTTAATAGGGAAGTCAAATCCATCTTGGAGAAGACTGTGAAGCCGAACAGAAAAGATTGGAGCCTGAGACTTGATGATGCGTTATGGACTTACAAGATAGCATACAAAACACCCATTGGGATGTCCCCCTATCAATTGGTTTTTGGTAAGTCATGTTACCTTCCTGTAGAGTTGGAGCACAAGGCTTATTGGGCAGTGAAGAGTTGCAACATGGACTTGGGAAAAGTTTGCGAGCAAAGAAAATTGCAGTTGCAAGAGTTGGAGGAGATACGACTTGAAGCGTATGAGAACTCAAGAATTTATAAAGACAAGACCACCAAGGTATTTCATGACAAGATGATTGTTAGAAAGCACTTTGTGGTTGGACAGAAAGTCTTACTATATAATTCAAGACTTAAATTAACGCCTGGTAAGTTGCGTTCTCGTTGGATTGGGCCCTTTGAAGTTACTAATGTTTTTCCTTATGGTGCAGTTGAAGTGTGAAGTTTAGGAACTAATGAGGTGTTCAAGGTAAATGGGCATAGGCTTAAGCCATTTTATGAAGGCTTTCAAGAACATACGATAGAAGAAGTACGACTAGGTGATCCCGTTTATGCAGCTTAAGGGGAGCTTCAAAGTCAGGCTAACGACATTAAACGAAGGCACTACTTGGGAGGCAACCTAAGGGGAGTATTTACCTTTTTTTTTTTTTTTTTTTTTTTTTTTTTTTTTTTTTTTTTTTAAGCATTGAATAATAACTCTTCTTTACAATTGGATTTTACATTGGGACAATGTAAGCTTTAAGTGTGGGGGAGGGGCTTAGGTAGGATTTTTTTTTTTTTTTTTTTTCTTCAATAAAGAGTGTGTCTTGTGTATGCTTTGAAGTTAATTGAAAAAAAAAATTTAATTTTTTTTTTAAGCTTTGAGTCAGGTCCTTGAATACTCGATGATGCTTGAGATCTTAACTTGACTTGTGTAAATAAGTATACTCCTTAGTTTAGGATGTTAGCAATATTCTATAAACTAGAGTTAAGCACATTTGAATCTTGGTAGTCAATTGAAATGATATGTCTTGAAAAGTTGGGTTCAATATTAGCTCCGCTGAGCTGAATTTGTGAGTGGCAAAAATCAAAACCTTTTACACAATATTCAAGCTTGCATGTGTTAATTGAAATGGACATTTGATTGGGTTTGAAAATTTGTGTTGAAATTAGGTGGTAATTGTTGAGTTTTGTTTTGAAAATACGAAGGATTTTACATGTGGAGACACAATGCATCCAAATGTTTGAATCATGGGCTACATGTCATTTCTTCAAGATTTTGGTTGAAATCCTTAGAATTGCATGGTAATTGTTGAGTTGTGTTTTGAAAATATGAAGGATTTTACATGCATGGAGACACATTGCATCCAAATGTTTGAATCATGGGCTGCATGTCATTTCTTTAAGATTTTGGTTGAAATCCTTAGAATTGCATTTAAATTGAATAATCTGTATGTTTAGTACATAGGTGAAATCTCAATTGGTGACTGGATCAAGCAAAAATTCTTCTTCAAAAACTTAAATTCATGTCTACATGTGTAAGTTGTGTTTTCCATTTTTATTGTTTAATGTAAGTTTTGAGTTAATTGTGAAGTTTACTAAATATTGCTTTTCCATGCTTTGGCTGAGCCTTATTGAGAAGGGTTTGATTGTGATTGAGTGCTGGAATTTTTGGTTTCATGGGTGGAGATAGTTCGAGTTGTTGAAAGGAAGTTTAGTTTAAGGGAATAACTTGAAATGTCCAATATTCCTTTCTTCTTTGAAAGTAACCGTGCAACCTATACACTAATTTTTCATATATTTTGCTTATATGATGACTTTAAGTGCATGGCCAGTTGATAAAAGAAAGAAATAGGTGTTTTACAAGACAATAGAAATGGTTATTCTCCTCTTAAATCACATGTCAATTTGGGTGGATAATGGTTAGCACTTGTGTTATATTATATAGAATTAATGTGCTATGGTTGGAGTTGTTCTCAATTGGCTGGTGAATCTTAATTTAGAAGTGATAAATGTTTGTGGGTGGTGTCGGATTGAGGTTGTTGAGATGTGATTTTGAAGGAATTGTTAATCTGGGTTAAACTGTCAGTTTTGAAACATGTTTGGAAATTTACAGTTTCACCCCAGATGTGATTTTCGAATATTATGTCAAATATGCATGATCTATAAGCACACATGCGATATGTTCTTGACTTATATTACTTGAAATTATCATGAGATGCATGATTTTTGCATTTTAATTTTCAACACATTAAATTACTTAATTATCTTTCCAAACTATGTTAATTAAATGATTATTTTATGTATATTAAAAACATGCTATTGCTCACTGCTTTGCCGAAAATTTGAGAAGAGCGGAAATACATTGAGAAGTGTTGTGAGACTATGTTTGAATTAATGTGACTATGTGTTAAATGTTGCCTTAAAAATATTGATGAATTCACATTAGAAGAAGTTTTATTGTTACTAAATGCAGGAAGTGTTGTTTGCAATGGGTGGAGATGAATTCTGATGTGGATGACAAGTAGTTGAAATGAGAAATGAAAAATGTGTAGAAATTGTTGGTTTTGAGAAACATTATGAAATTACATGTTTACCCATTTTCATTGTATAAAGTATTATGATTTTTTTAAGTATGCGTTTTATAAGGAAAAGCTTAAGTTTTATGAAGTTACATGCTTACCCATTTACATTGCATCAAGTATTATGATTTTTAAGCATGCCTTTTATAAAGAAGAAAAGCATAAGTTTTATGACCAGAAAAGAGAGGATTAAGAAAGTGGAGATAAAAGTGATTTTCAAACCACCCTATGTAGTACCCATCCCCCTCTTCATATTATGTGATGACTCTGCGCATGCGTATGATTGGTTATTTGTCGGCCCGAGCAGGTCGAATGCCTGAGCAATGTAGGATCTCGCCAGGCAAGATTTAATTGTGCCAGTCCAAATGGGTCGAAGGCCCGAGTGAGGTAGATATCGCTAGACAGGATATGATTGTGTTAGCTCAAGCGATGCATGGTCTTGCTGGGTCAAAGGCTTGAGTGGTGTCTGATTCTACCTAGCAGGATTTATTTGTGTCGGACCTAAGCATGTGAATTTTGTTGGGTTCAAAGGCTTGAGCAGTGTTTGACTCCGCCTAGCAGGATGGACTTAGTGTTTCAAACTGCACGATGTTAGATCTTGCCGGGTTGGATGGATTTACCCTTGGATACTTGTTGGGTGAGAGTTTTCAGTGATTAGTATTAGAATTCATTTTTCAGTTAAGAATCAAAAAACAATTTTCCGTTTTCAGCATTTAATGGTAAAGTAGTATTCAGCTCAGAGTTTTTCAGTATTAGTAAAATCTACAGTATTCAATTTAAAGTTCAATTATCAGCATAAAGTTTTCAGCATTCAAAGATCAGATATCAGTGCACAATTTTTTAGAAATCAGTTTTATGTTTCATATCATCAAAATAGTTATCAATAACTAATACCAATTTTATGAGACTAATTCAGACATTTGAAATATGATTTTAGTAATGTTGTTTTAAAGACATGAGAAATTTGAGATGTATGAGTATTAATTTGCAAGCATAAACATTGGTTGTATGTTTTAAAATGTTGTTCCAGAAACACTAAATAAGCCTTCATTGAGTGATGATGTGATGTTTGCAGTATGATTTCTTTTTGTAGGTTATTAGAATCAAATTCAGTTTTTAGTATCAGAAAAACTATGGATTAATTGCATTAATCCCAATTGCATGAAGTCTCTGTTATGTACATGACATTCATAGAACGTTATTTCTTTTCAGAGATACATGATTGTTTGTGATGTTTTAGATGTTTGCAGCATGAGTTTTCAGAGTTATTATTTTTCAGAAAAATGTTTTACCCCCCATCTCCCACTCACTGAGTACTTTCAGCTCACCCCCTTTTAGAATGTTTTTCCCTTAGGTTCACAAGAAGATCATGTTAAGGAGTGATTCCTCTCGAGGTTGGGCCCACATGTCATCATCTCATCATGTGTGTAAAATTTCATGTTTGTTTTGTAGTGGATTATGTTTATTTCATATGTTTATATCGTGTGACTGATTGTAACAAATATGAAAATCTGATACTTTGCTCTTCCGGTTTCATAAAATGAATGTGCTATGTTTTCAAATTTTCAAATATGTATATATTATATGTTATGTTTTTCATGAAAAATCAAGAGAATGTTTTTATGAGAAGCATATTCAGAAAACAATTTTTTTATTTATGGGTTTCAAAGTTTTTCACATTGCACGTATTGGTCACCCAAGTCTTATAGATGTGCCTAGAGCCCATAGGATAGGGAGGGTTGGGGCGGGCCGTGTCAAATATAATATAGAGTTGATCAAGTGGTTGCCATTTATTAAATAATAAGTTGTTCATGTTTGCAGTTATAATTGTGTATGTGATTGCATTGGAGAAACGTATAATTAATTAGCTTAAAAAAATGTAATTGAATAAAGTTCTTTTGCATGAAAATCACAAGTCTTTTGACTTCTTCCATAGCTTATATATTTGTTTGCATCTATCTATATGTATTGAAGAAAATCAAGAGTGGAAGAGTGAATGAATACATACTCAATTCCTTATGTGATTCATCTTATTGAATAATAAAAGAAGACGAAAATAAATAGATTATAAGGGAGAGACAATTCCAAAAAGGAAATTCTCTTACTAAGTAAAGATTAAAAAGAAATCGAGAAGATTTGGCAATTAGAAAACTAATCTTCTCGCAGTAGGAAAATAATAACTAGCCTAGAAAACTCCTACATTAAAATTGTATACAATAGCTGTTACATAGAATCCCTAATAGGAAAAAAAAAATTAAAAAAAAAAAAGATTTGTAACTAGGATACGGCGATACTGGTTTATGAGCATTTCAATTTATAACATACAATACTTATATTTTATAAATGGACTTTTGTGAAACATTTTCTAACTAATCACCTTCCTTTCAGGATCTTGAGTCCCTAAGAGCGCCTGGATCTTGTGGGATAGGGACACCTGGGAGGGAACGTGACATTACTCTCAATTAATAAAACACAAAGCTTCTTCCTCTTTATTTTAGCCTTTGTTGCTCATCCTTTCCATAATAACCTCATCCAGGACATATGTTAAAATTCCTCTTCATCTGAAATGAAATGAAGAACAGAGAGTTTTCATGAAGAAAGAATTTCTCACTTATATTGCTTTGTACATCATTACAACCTTTATACAAGCTTAACTACAACTTTTGCTATTAAACAATCTTCACTAATCATAATTACTGAATTTATTAACTATATTTACATAGTTGGCTACAACTAACACTCAACTAACTTGTAACTATACTAACAATTAACAGTAAACTAACTAAGCTGACTAACAGCAGTAGACTACTCTAATACCCCCTTTTAAGTTGGAGGGTGAAATATATCTAAGACACCCAACTTGCCAAGTAAATGAGAATGA